ATGCATAAACGAAACGATACATTTTTGGAAAGCTCTCGACGAGACGGTCCCAACGCCGCCGTTTTCGGCGCTACGACTCTCTCTGTTGTTGAGAAATCGAGATTTGAAAATCGATCGAGAGGGTGTTTTATCTTGTGTCATTTACGGTATTGCGGGCCCCAGGCCGCTCTCATTTGCACGCACCATGCATCACAGCAGTGAGTGCAGATTTGGCGACGCACAGACAGCAGAAGTAGCGAGCGGTCTGCTGCTGCAGCTGTAACTGGGTGTTGATGTTGTTGTTGTTGACTTCACATTAAACCGTATGCCAGTTGCTAAATGCCAAAATCTAGCAAAGACTCTCGGCCCGTGGTCACGAAAGTGCTGGAGCCATCTGAGGATCTAAAGAACACGCACACGTAGCAAGAAAAAGGTGTACAAGAGCCCGAAGAGGTACTACTACACCTATATATAATCCCTGCAGCACCGTACGCGTGCCCAAAACTGAACTACACGTCCGTCTCACCGTTCGACTACAGCAACATCACCCCCTACTTGTCCCACTCTGTACCAAAACGAATGATTGCCGACTACAGCATACTTGCTGTCTGAAGTGCTGTCTGTACAAAAAAAACACCATGGTAGGCATGGAACAAGAAGCTGGCGGGGCACAAAGCTGCTGTCTGAAGTGCTGTCAGGGTGTTGGTATTATGGATAGATTCCTCCCATCTACAACAGGCGGTCCATCTGATGCCAAAAAAAAGTCGTGCATAAGCTCGTCTCTCACCGAGGGCGAGGTTATCTCCCGCTTGGGGGACGTCGATCCTACGCATATTTTGTACGCGAAGGGAAGGAGTGGCGAGTACCGTGAGACGCAGAACCTTGTTTCGAATACCGCTCATTCGTTCACTCATGAAACTCAACAGAGCCGTAGAGACAAGCCGCGGGTGGAGGTTCAGGGAACTCTTCGCGATATATGTGGAGGGAAAAAAAGCCGTCAGGGTAGCTTTTTTGGTTTGGTCTCCGCCGGGACAGCAGTTATATGTAATATAGACTATTATGACTGGTGTTCCTCGGTGCGACGCTGAAATACGCTCGTTTTTTGTTGTTTCTTCACAAAAATGAGATAAATAGACTAGTCTCGGCGACCCTGACTTTTCGTACCACATCTGTCCTTAGCTTAGCAACAGACGTGTACTTTGAGGTAAACCATTCCTCCATTGGCCCCGGGGATGTTGAGCTATCGTCCCCTGCATTTTAAGGACGCAATAAGGACGCTTTTTTTCGGGAAAAACCATGTATGTGCGTCGTTAAAAAGCGGGGTCGACTGCTGTATCTACGAGAGGCTTTGGCGGCCATAGTGTATTCGCTGTGCTTGCTGTTCCTACCCAGCGGGCTGAAACGATACATTCCGCTCTCGCACCCACTTCACGACAGCAGTGCGTTCCAGCACACCCGCACCCCAGTAGCCATGGTATTTGGCCGGAAAAGGGGCTTCTTGGTGAGTGCGGTGCCCGCCCTCCGCTTATCAGGCGCTGCACTAATATGCACAATTCGGCGTATCGGCACACAGCAGCAGTATCGACTATATATCCTGGACGCAAACAGCAATACACCAGGTCGTAGGAAGTGGTATGCATATATGTGTACGTTGGAGTTGTGGCGTTCTTCGACCATGCAGTGAGAAAGATATGGCGAGCTGGCAGGTAGTATATAGCATCTGCACGGCCACCCACGGCACATGTGATATGCTTGTTCTTCCAACTGCGACATCGATGAGCTACGGAATAGAGTATACAGGTGTACTTTAAAAAGTACATACATACGCTGTAGCTCATCATCATGCTGCTGCGGGCCTCTTCGTGGATTGGTTCCGAGGCCAACCTTGCCTCGTTGTCATCCATGGGATATGGGATATGCATATGTTGACCTTCACTCGCCGTCTCTCGCCCTATTGAACCGCAATACCGAGCAGTCCTCCTGGACGTCGCGCTCGGTTGAAACGGACCCCGATCTCGAATTCAAGGCAAGAGTTCACGAGTGAGTGGAGTGGTGGCGCCAGCGATTAGGCTTGTAGTCCATTGGCATAGACCCTGCTAGCGTCGCTGCACGCTGTGCGGATCACCACCACCACTGATACACAGCGCCGGTACTTAACTGTAATAATCAACAGCAGTAGCATAGCAGTTTTAGACAACCGTAAACGTCGGAGCTTCCCAGCTGCTGTCCTCGTTGCTGTCTATTTCTCGTCGCCTTCGTTGTTCTTACGTCCCTCCTCCCTCTAGTTGTTGAGCGCTTGCTCGTTAACCTTATCCATCTCAGTTTCGCCACTCTCTGTGTGTCTGGTGTGTTGACCATCATTATTTTGCACGACCTCCCCGGGGGGGGGCTTCCCCCCGAGGTAGCGTTGGACTTCCCCCCGAGGTAGCGTTGGAAGAAATAAGCCAACCCCCGCCAGTACGTCAATTTCCCCCCGGGGGGGTTGGTTTCAGAAAAAAAAACGATCGCCTCCCCGGGGGGGAACTCCGACGTTTACGGTAGTCGTAGTCTAACGGTCGTAATTCTGCAGAGTAGTGCCCATTCAACTAAATACACATCTCCGCAGACGATCCGCAGACGAAGTTTGGGCATGGTTGCACCACGTCCAACTTCGCTAAGTGTAAGTAAGGTATACGTAAGCTAAGGCTTGAGAAACGCTACATATGTTATATGTTTACCGTACGTAGACCAGCGCACTTCTACTTCCTAGTTTGTAGTTCGCTTTTTTGTAGCGTCGCTGTACAAATGTGGTTGTGTTTGGCCGGGAGGTCGCCGTCATTCTTCCCTCACAAGCTGAAGACTAACTTATTAAATGTTGTGGACCTAAAACCATACACAACGGAGACCGGAACGGTTTTTCATGTGAAGACAGCAACAACAAAAACGGCAACA